ATCTATTGTGCATGTGTGCATGTGTGTGTGTGTGTGTGTGTGTGAGAGAGAGAGAGAGAGAGAGAGAGAGAGAGAGAGAGAGAGAGATAGGAGAGAGAGAGTGAGAGAGGGGGTGGGGTGGGAGAGAAAGACAGAGACACAGAGGAGGGGGGAGAGAGAATGCCATGTATGGGTATGGGTGCTTGTGGAGGCAAGAAGAGGGCATCGGGTCTCTTGATGGTGGAGTTTCAGGAAGTTGGATACTAAAACCAGACTCAGGTCCTCTGGAAGAGCAGCAAGAGCTCTTGATGGATGAGCCATCTCTCCAGCCCTGAACGTAAGTTAGTTTAGTTCATGTGCATGTGTGTTTTGCCTGCATGTGTGTTTGTGCACTGTGACCTGGTGCCTGAGGAGGCCAGAAGAGGGCACTGGATCCCCTGGAACTGGAGTACAGAATAGTTGTGTGGGTACTGGGAATCAAATCCAGGTCCTCTGGAGGAGCAACAAGTGCTCTTGACTTCTGAGCCATCTCTCCAGCCTCTCAAAATAGTTTTGTAATTTCCATTTCTCCGTACATTCTGGCTATTGGGTTCTACCTGAATTTCACTGATATCAGTGAGTATATTTTGTGTCATTTCCACTGTTGAGACTTGCTTCCCCGCTCAGTCTCTTGGCTTTGGGGCATGCGCCAGTGTTTGTGAAAATATCGCGTGTCCTTATCAACTGCTGTGCATGTATCTGATATGTCAGCTTGGTAATTTGTTCCCTAATCCTAATGATTTTTTTCAAAAGCAGAGTCATAGTTTATTAAAATGGATTTTTAACACAGATTTAGTAGGGGTATTCGTAAGCACCCAGGAAAGAGTGAGATATACCTAAGTGTGAATAAAAGCATCTCAAGACAGAGTTACCTAGTTATTTTTTTATTTTTATTTTTGGTTTTTCAAGATAGGTTTTCTCTGGGTGGCCTTGGCTGTCCTGGAACTCATTCTGCTGACCAGGCTGGACTCCTCAAGATGTGTTACTTCTCCCCTCAGTTGGAAACCCTGCTATTTCAGTGTGGCTGCTTCTGTCTCCTCACTCTCTACTCCAATTTTTTTTCACGTATTTCTTGTATTCAGGGATGCTTGCAGGAAGTACATCACAAGCTATTTCCAAGTACATCCATTCAGAAGCATTATTACTCCTGCAATGTATTTCATGCACTCAATTTTTATTTCAAATATCTTTATACTCAGTACTTTTCTTTTTTTTTTTCTTTTGGTTTTTTTTTTATTATTATTATTATTATTATTATTATTATTATTATTATTATTATTTTACAACACCATTCAGTGCAACATAATAGCCACAGAATCCCCTGTTCTCCCCCTCTCGCCCACCCCTCCCCCCAGCCCACCCCCCATTCCCACCTCCTCCAGATCAAGGTCTCCCCCGAGGAC